CATGTGTCTTATTGTATTGTTTTTCACAATAGTGAACATAATAAAAATACTGACTTTTGAGAAAATGAAGAGATAAATTGAAATATGTAGGCTGGTGGTGCATTGGTTAAGTCCTTGGCTGCTGACCAAAAGGTTGGAGTTCAAATCTACCAATGGCTCCACTTTAGAAAAGACCTGGTAACCTGCCCCCTTCACGATTACAGCCTAGGGAAGCCCATGGAGTAGATTCCACTCTGTCCTATAGGGTGGTCAGGAGTCAGAATCCACTTAAGGCCAGTGGTTATAGATCCATATACAGTTGTAAAAATAAAACATTATTAATAATGTATGGAGATCTTATTTGAACTGGGCAGTTGAATTGCTTTATATCATGTAATACCCAAAAAAGATGGCAAATTTAAATTACAGACAATCATCTACCATGTGAGTTAATTCATTTTGGATTTTAAGGTGATTGAGACCGTGTGCTGCTCTGGGTATTGATGACCATACTAATCTAAAGGTCCAATTAAATTCTATTGGAGAGTCTACTAGTGAACTCTGATTGGTCCCTGTACAGATTCTACTAGTGAACTCTGATTGGTCCCTGTACATGCCTGTTAAAATGTTTAAAGTTTCCTGAAAATTCTCTTTTACCTTAGCCTCCAAAGCTGTTAAAAAGTAATCATTTAGCTTCACTTTGAATCTTGTGACAAAAGCTTAAAGAGCAGTTTAAATAACTTTTTATTGCTGTTCAAGTTATTACAGGGTTAGTTTTAGCTATTATTAGAAAAAAAAAAAAAACTTAAACTAAAAGTTAAAGCAGAACTTTTGAGAAATTTATCACAATAAAATATAAAATAGGAAAGAAAAATCAAATTGAAGAATACAGTTAAACTTTGGCCATACAATAATGATATGATAATAAAATGAAAATAAGCATTTAATTCTAAAGCAATACATTTATTTCCTTTCCAACTACGTTTCCCCCTCCTAATTTTTCTCATGGCATTTAAAAATTCACTAATATTTTATGTTCTTTTCATTTCAGGAAGGAGGCATGATGATCGATCCATTAAGATTAAATGAGACTAGGAAGCTTAATCATGATTGTTCTGATTTATTCAATAATAGTACTTCTAGAAACTCTGTAATGAAGCCTGGACTAGGATGGCGTGTGATCAGTCTGCCTTTGGAGAATGAAGTACCTGAAGCATCAACTTTGCAGGTGCCTTCGGATGAGTTCAAAAGTATCTTAGGGAAAGAAAAAGAGTAAGTACAGATCCCTGCCCCCCTTTGCCAATTCTGTGTTTCAAACCTCTTAAAATTGTTAATCCTGATGAAGTGGTCTTTGACAGTGTATTTTACCCATGAAGAGTAACTAAGTTCTAAGATTTTAAAAGTAAGTTTGATATATATTTACTTTTGTTTTCAAAAAGTAATTTGTAACTTGTTAGTGTTTGTCTTTCTTTTAAAAAGACTTTTATCATAACCTTGTTCTTATTATCTCTAGCATGTCATGTTAATTATATTTGAATTGTTAATATATATGGTTAAAATATCCAGCGTATTATCTGTTTTTCCAACATTCTTAGAGGAGTCAGTAAAAGTGAATTACTATGGTACTACTAGAATGCCCTTCGCTACCAGTTGCCAAAAAAGATGCCTTGGACACTGACCACATGTGTATGGAGGAAAGAGAGCTAGACTTGGGGTTCAGAAACCTGGACATGTGTCTTGATTTGGGCATGTTCTGGGTGTAAGACATTGGGCCAGGAAGCCTGTGTGCCTTGCCTTTTTTGACAAATAGGAGTAGCTATACCTACGTTCTGGTTATCCAAGGAGCCCTGGGGATACAGAGGTGAAGCATTCAGCTGCTAACCATAAGGTCACTGGCTGGAACCCACCAGCTGCTGCTCCATGGAAGAAAAATGTGGCATTCTGCTTCTGTAAAGATTACAGTCTTGGAAACTGTGGTCGTTAAGGTTGTGGGTCAATTTAGCTGGAGCTGGTTGAGTGGCTGGGAAGTTGGTGGTAGTTATCCCCCATGATGAGACTAACCTACTGCCCTCAAGTCAGATCTTACTCATAGCAACCCCTTCTTTGGGTTTCCGAGGCAGTGTCACTCTGGAAGACTGCCCAACCTTCCTTCCGAGGAGTGGCTGGTGGGTTTGAACCGCCATCTTTCTGGTTAGCAGTCAAGTGCCTTAGGCATTATGCCACCAGAATGATGAGACTGGCAGCAATCAACTGCCTGGTAGGATCCACCACAAGCAGCTGAGTAGCTGCTTTAGGGATGTGGTCTGCTTCCCATATATAAGAAGCAGCTTTGGGAATGGTCTCTAGTTTATGGCACACTTGAACTCTACAAGTAGCACAGTCATTGTTCAGCAACCTGCCATGCTCTGCTGATCATGAGACTTTCAACGGACTTGAATCAATGGCCTGCTGTGTTGTTTAGCAACATTGGGACTGTGCCTTTCTACTTGTCAACCTTGGATTTGTCACCCTCAGCAGTCAGTAGCTGCCTGAGTGAAGAAAGCATCCAGCTTCAGTGGGCCAGGAGCAAGAGGCAGAGCTAAAGCCTAAGGTTGAGGGGTTTTCATCTAGCCCCTAGAGCCTGGCGCTTTGAACTTGGAATAAACTCCCTGTTTGTTCAAGCTCATTCATTTGTGGTATAGTCCTGTCAGAGTGGCACTAGGTAACCAAAACAGAAACCCTATGAGGAAGTTCTACTCTGTCCTATAGGGTTTCTCTGACTCAAAATCAACTTGCCAGCAACTCATTTTTTGTTTGTTTGTTTGTTTACTTCTGTATGACAAAAATATTAGTAATGGTTGTTCAATCTTGAGATGCAACTAGCTCTGCAACTGACTCGGATTCCCCATCTTCACTCCAGATTTTCTGCCTGGATAATCTTCTATCTAAACCAAAAAACCAAGTACTCAGAATATAAAGGGTTTCCAAATCCCGGGTGATTACTCATAACACTGAAACAGTACACAGAGTACAAGCAAGATAATAAATAAATAAATAAATAAATAAAAATAGTAATATAATAAAACAATTAAAATAGTATGATAAAAACAATATAGTAAAACAAAAAATCTAGTAATGGTTGTTCAAACAATAGCTGTATCTTCTGTTTATGAATCTTGATTCTGGCTTGTCAGGGACAGCTGTAAGTGGCTTCTGCTGGGATGGCTTGGTGGCTGGGGTGACTTGGAGGCTGGGAGCTAAGATCATCTGAAGCCCCACTCACTCACTTATCTGGTGCATGACGCTGGTTCTCAGTTGGGGCCTGAGCTGGGACACCTACAAATGACCTTTTTTTTTTTTTTTTTAA